AAACTTGCTTTCTGCTTGGGTTCCTGGAATCAGCTCCTCATTTCCTTTCAAGCCTTTCCAGCGGGGAACAAATCCGTTCTCTCTCCTACGTGGGAATGATTGGTGAGGAAGGCTGGGCCCAGTGCCCCAGTGGAGCTCACGTTGAGAGCCAGCTGCACTTGATCAAACCCAGCAGCGCCACCTGGTCATTCACGCATTTAGCATGCATAGGCAGCGGCGTCTTGGGCCAGTGGCTTGCAGAAAGCCACTTCCCAGAGTGCTCTCCCTGGAGAGGGCCGGGCAGAGCTGTTGTGGCAGGGGGTAGGGGTCAGCGCTCATCAGATTGTGAGCAGCTTTGACCCCTGGAAGCTGTGTGCAGTGGTGTGGAGTGGAGTGTGTGGGGACAACCATGCCAGCAGACAGAGTGTGAGAGGAAAGGTGTGGGGGTTCGGGGGGTGGGGCACGGAGCAGAGGAAGTATTCAGGTGCCTGGAGCGGCAGACCCCCTGGGGCCTGCTCTTCCAAGATGCCTGTGGCCGGGGAGAATGGGGTGCAGTTTCTGGGGCCAGCCAGCTCTACTAAGCAGAGCCCTGAGAGCTTCGGGGACTCTGGGGAGGAGTGAGTCCTACCCCAGCCCTCCAGGAGTGTACTGTGTTGGGGGAAATCAGGCCCTGACAATGTGAGCCTCGTGTAAGAGGCAGGAAGTGCCCTGCACCTGTTCAGAGGAGCGGACAGCCGTCCAGAGATATGTGTAGACACTGGAGCTTGGCCTGGGAGCCGGGCAGGCAGACTGGGCTCTGCAGAGGAGGGTCGGGAGTATGGCAGACATCGTAGCCTCCGGAGGCCAGCTCTGTCATGTGTGGTGGGCTCGCTGCAGGATGGGCCCAGTGGGGAGCACGGAGAACCCAGGCCCGCAGGCCTTGGGAGAGCCTCCTGCCTGGGCTGTGCATATTTGCATTTGGGCCAGGTTGATTTCGGGAAATAAATAGCAAAATGGCCCTTCTGCCGTTTGCCAGAGCAGTAATTAGTCCAGCTCATGAACAGGGGAAAGAACAAGGCAGTGAGAGGGAGCCAGCCTGTTACCAGCATCAGGCCCTTCCTCTGGTCAGATACTAAGGCACCGCTGGAGAACTTTAGTGGGGCCTCCAGAGGGAAGCCGCGATCTTGAGGCTAGAGGTCCGAGAGAAATGGCTTCCTCCATCCTTGTACAAGGGGGTGGAATTAATTTAAGGGTTCTCCCAGGCCTTGAGGGACTCTGGGAAGTTCATTCCAAGTATATTCTGTTTCTACCAGATGATGTCAGATGCAGGGGATTCTGGAGAATTCTGCCCCAAGGGCAAGATGTAGTCCACAAAAGCGGTGCTGATTCTTGGTCTCTGGGGCGAAGCGGGTGCCGCAGAGCTGTCAAGCCTCATTGGGAGACGTCCTGAGTTCAGGAGCTTCTCTGAGCTCCATGCCCACTCGGCTATCCTAGTTACACACCTGCGTATGCCTCTGGCCCGACTGTCTACACTCCTGTCCCCCTACCCTTTTTGAAACCCAACCTGAAGCCACCCCGACTCTTGGCAGATGATGGGCCAGAGAGGGGAGCCCCGACAGCTAGGCTTCTAATCCCAGCTTGGCCACATTCCAGCACGTCATTGTGCTGCCAGCCCGTTTTGTCCCCCGTGGGAGGGATGGGCCTTCACAGAGTTCTGAAAACACCCAGCCTGCCATGAGCAGTGGTGTTGAGGGACGTGGACGTGGCTCCCTCCCTAGATCACCATCAGCGCCCCTCCCGGGATCACAGCCCATCACATCCGCACCGCCCCGTCCGGCTCCCAGGAAGCTTCAGCCTCCAGAGTGACCATCACCTTGGGAGACAGAAGCTCTAACCTCAGAGGTATGGACAGTGGGGGACAGTGAGGGCCGGCTCAGGGACCCGGACGGGGGCAGGCAGTGTTGCTGTGGCCTTCTGAGGGGCTGTCTGACTCAAACTC